TTCTATTTAATAAAACAACTAACAAACGTTTATTCATTCTCGTGAGAGTACTGTTTTTAAAGCCCACTCGATGAAATAAAATTTCACCTTACACACAAACAAACAAATATCCTCTATATAATAAAACTATGAAATTATGAAAATGATATCATTTAATTTACTTGTGTCAATATTATAATTATGATAATATATTTTTTCAGCGGGGTGTTAAGTACATTGGAGTACATTGAAGGACATACTTAGTTACATCTTCATGTAATCAAGAGTGAAAAATATGTATGACGGAGGTTTAGACAGAGACATTGCTTCTGGTAGCAGTAAAGGTCCATTATGCTTTTATTGTTTATTTCTAAATAGCATTCTATTTTCTTATACAGAATACAAAAAGTTCCTCATTGGCAAATTACCTGAATGTACTTCTTCTTATGTTGCTTTTTGGCAATAAGTACAGTTAAAGTGAATTACTAAAATACTTCTTTGCTTACACTTTGCTACTTTGATGACAAATTATTTCACATTTATCGCTACATTTTTCAAGTAACAAGCATCAGATATTCTCTTAAACCATAAATCATGCATTATAAAATACATGTTTGCCATTTTTAAAGAAGTAAAATTAATTTGTTTCTGAGGCATTGTTTGCCTTTAAGATATAAAATTAAAATTCATATCAATGCAATATTGAAAGCGTGTCTAAAAACCGTAACAAATTGAATATATCTGTATAGAAAGTACATTTGAGTACGACAAACCTTACGTGCAAACACTCTTGTTTATCTAACATATCATTATCTTTTGTTAACTTAAACAATGTATAAAACAAAACACTATACTTCAATTTTGATACTGATCCAGACACAACGGAGACAAATTGTTTGTAAATAAATATAACCCTATTCACCTATGCGTCACATTTTATGTGCTTCCCTTTTTTAACCACATAAGCCTTGGTATAATAAAATTTGATGTAATGAATAACAAGGTTAGCTTTTAAAAAAGCTAGTAGCGACTCGCTTCGTAATTTTTTTCCAGGGTTGCGTTTAAATGTTAAAATGACAGTTCTGTTATCTGAAGAGACTTCAGCGAACATCAAAATAAAAATGAGATAAAGTTATGGATGCCAGTTCTCTCAATTTAACAAAGAGGAATATGAGTATATATGAAGATGCATGTAAACAGATAGAATGAAGTCCCTATGTCTATGCACATTTACTGTATGGCCTGTTGACCTTGACCAAATAAATGTTAGATAGGTAGAATTCATAAAGATATCTCTTTTTACGAAGTTAAGTTGTAATATGTTATTTAGTATTGGAATGAGTGACAGACACAAGTCCTAAAGTAAACACAAGTTGTCAATCAATTCAGCCAGAAAAGCCGGGATCCTATTAAAGATATAGGGATCCCGGAAATTGACCAGTCTAAGATGTTTTTCAGATAAGCCGGGATCCTATTGAAACATATAGGGATCCCGGGAATTGACCAGTTCAAGAATATAGTTTTCAGAAAAGCCGGGATCGTATTAAAATATAAAGAGATCCTAGGAATTGGCCAGTTCAAGAATATAGTTTTCAGAAAAGCTGGGATCGCATTAAAACATAAAGGGATCCCGGGATTTGACCAATTCAAGAATGTAGTCTTTGATTTTTCCAATTAATTAGGCATATAATTATAAGTATTAGGATTTCCCGATTTTAAGTTTGTTAATAAATAGCTCTAAATATATTTATATCATAAGTTTAATTAATTTAACGTTCATTACATACAATAAAAAAAACTTAACGTTTAATGTCCTTAATCAATAATCAACACAAATATAGTTTATTAGTTTTACCTCTATATCAGTGGCCGGGATCCGGGATCGTACAAGATTATCTTGTACGATCCCGGATCCCGGCCAGTCCGTGCACCCCGGATACCGGCCAGTCCGGGCGTCCCGGATATACAATAAAAACCGGAAACGATAAAATGACCGGAAAAAAGGTAAAAGAAAAAAATGCACAGAACCAGATGTACACTTATGTTAATTAACCAAACGAAAACTTACTACAGAGGAACAGGTGAGGTCGCTAAATCAAGTCAGTGTAAATATGATTTATTCAAAAGAATTCATGAAAACAAACATTTTAATCATCATAATATATATCTTTGCGCTCAAAATAATACTTGCTGCTTTTTAAAAATGGCGTGAAAATTGAAGGTTTTTTGACGCTATGTAAGATTAAATTTGATTGGCTAAATAATTTTGGATCCTGGCCTTGATAGATAAATTTTGTAGAAAGCTGGAAGCCAAGCTTCGATAAAATTTTTGGATGGATTCGGAGTTTTAGGTTGTTTTTCAGTAAAATCCTAATGTAATACCGGCTCGCCGTGGCAAGCCGGCAATATAGTTCTACTCATATCCTTTTTAAATGAAAAGGAAAAAAATACTTTTTTTGCAAATTTCTACATCGTTTAAGAAAAAATTATGTTTAAGATTTAGTTATATTGTTTCATTACTATTTTAAAAAATGAAGCTATATGCTGTTACTACGAGTAGTGTAAAGTATATATAAAACAGAAATTAAATGATCTTCGTTGTGCAACTACCTTTTGGAATTTTAGAATGTTAAATCAATCTCCTAAAATAAAGACTTAATTAGCACTGGTACACACTCCAAATCCCAAACATCTATCTTTTTCTTTCAACATTTCATTCAGGGTATGATTTGAACCCATTCTAAAATTATTGTTGTATAAATATTTATGCAAATGTTTTTTTTATAAAAAATTAAAAAAATAACTCCATTTAATCCCGTTGATATTGTTTTTACTGTAAACTTTAAGGTTGACAGGCCGCTGGGCCACTGGACCGCTAGGCTGCCACAAAAATTTCAAGAAATGTCTTTAAAACTACTTAGTCGCTGACATTACGTCGTCAGGCCGCTAGGTCGCTAGGTCCCCAACTTCACGTCGCTTGGTCGCTGGGTCGCAATTTTCACGCCGTTAGGCCGCCAATTGCACACATCTATCATATTCACTAAACACAAACAGATGTCATGTTAGTTAATAATATTTTTATGTATAGATTTCGAATGTCCAATATTTCAACTAAAACAATGAATTATGCTTGAGAAATTGCCGCCAGGGTTATGAGATTTTTTTAATTGTGAGGAGGGTGCTATAAAACGTTGCAAGAACTTATTTAAGTATTCTTATTGTCAATCTTGTAATGCAGGATATATAAATGCATTCTTCATTTTTGACATGTGATAATTAAGTTCTTTTAAAGAGGGTGGTGATAAATTAAGACGGTTGCCATTTGTGAAAAAAGTTAGCTATGTGCCTGTTCAACGGTAATTCTGAAAGTAGAATTACCTCCAGAAATTTCTTTTCTATGTTCGAAAATATTATCGTTTTACTTGTATTATAATTATGTTATTTACTTGAATATTTCCAAGCGTGTTAGTAAATGTGAATTTTCCGTCTTGTTAAATCATGATGCATATATTTACGGCGTATTATTTCAGCCTAAATAAAAAGACTTATACATGAGGATAGTACCCAATTAAGTGCTCCGTGTCGGTTATTTTCCTATTTACAAAGGTAATTTATCTTTCGTCGGTGTAAACTTAATTTATCAAATTGAATTTGCCTTTCTGTCTTTTAATTAACACAGACCACAGCATTGTAGTTCATGAGCACGACAGTAAGCTAGCTTTATTTCTATTCAAAATTATCGACTGGTCACTTAATTTACAAATTCATAATATATTATAGATTATGAAAATTAGTTTGAAGACGAGAAATACTGAAATAAATCGATACGTTAGATTAAGAACAAGACATTTCCTGATTTAAGAATGGTCGCAATTTATTTTTATTTATTTATTTATTTATTCATTTATTTATTTATTTATTTATTTATTTATTTATTTATTTATTTATTTATTTATTTATTTATTTATTTATTTATTTATTTATTTATTTTTGCCTCCTGAAATATTGGCAATTAAAATAAATCTGAATAAAATTTGAAACAAAATACAAATTACCACACCCCCACCAAAACAAAACCTAACAAAATAAAAACAAAAAAATAATTATATAAAATTCATAGTATTGTTTTATCAACTGGAAATTCATAGATCATTAATAGATCACATTGAGGATACAACTTAAGTATATTAACAAAAGTTGTACATAATTTTATATTAATGCTCTTTTGATTTTTCATACTTTACTCTTGTCTCAATACTAAAAAAATGAATTTTCTGTTTTTATCATATCATTGTTATTATATTGAAAATGTGATTATATAATCAATTTGATGTAATTTGCGAATTACCGCCTTTCATAAAGTATTAATCAAAGTATTTGTCAGAATAGGTATTTTGAAAAGACTGTCCATTCGGTACACATGTCGTCACGGATGATGGATATAGGAATTTTCTTTTTATTTGTCGTAAATTATAGCAGAAAAATAGTTTAATCGTTTTAGAAAGTCTTTTTATAAGACTAAAACTTGTATTACATCATGTTTTACCAAAACTCAATTATTTTAATAAGTACCTTAGATGAATTTATTAAAAAATGTTACAGTTAGACAATTTACAATGCAATAAAACAATTTTCAAGCATTGCTGCTGTCAAACTTTCAACATGATTACCTTTTGTTTTTTTACATTTTTGTTTCATTATAACATTTTATTTGTAAGAGCTAAACCCTACATATTACGGTGTGGAAGAACAGAACATACATCTACATCAGCTTTACGGTACGAATTTAAACAATGATTAATTTAATCAAGTTAAAAACACAATTTCCACTTACCACTTCTAATCTGAAGTCTGTAATCCCCAAAAATGATACTCTTTCCCCCTAATTTAAACGTTCCTCCTTTTTGAAACACTGTTCTATATTTAGCCAATGTCTTCTCAAAACACTATTCCATTACGTATCCTGGTAGGAAAATGATTAAATCATAAATGGGCGATTACTAACTTAACGTAACCAATGGAATAGCTGCTTTTGAATTATATAAAGTCGCAACGAGTGATATCGTTACATACCTGTTTGCACTCACTTTAAAACAATGGGTGGAGGAAATTCAAGTAAGCATAATTTTGATGCTAACATAAATTTAATATTTATAAATCATTATCATAACAATTTATTTAAATTTCTATGGCTAATTTTAGTTTAAACATTTTTCTATTGTAATACCGCACTTTGGGCCCCATTGTTGATCACAGGAACACATGCATTTTTTAACATCAGAAAAGCTGTCAGAAATTTGTTTCTCATAAACATGAATTTAAGTGATATCTTAAAGTAATAACATGTAGTTAGATGCCAATGGTTAACTAAAAATAAGGAATGAAGTAGGTATCTATGAAAAATTGTGATTTATATTTTTTCTATAAAAATTTCGATTTGATTGAACTTCATTTACTTAAATATTTTTCTTTGAGGTCATTAAAAACGACATTCACAATAATAAAATAACAAGAATAACATGACGGTTACAATGAACCAAACCGAAAAAAAGAGTACGAGATGTATTGTTTTGTTTGTAGTTTTTATTGGCGTTTTTTGTTTTCGGTAACGAAAGAACGCGAATTAATCTGCGCCATACTTCAAATCCAAATGTTACTTTTGCTGTAACTTCTTCATTTCTATTTTAAACTTAAAATAACATAAAAATATTAATTTTCTAAAGCGATTTTAAAAAGCATGCGTTGCAGTGATTTTAAATATGACAACCTTAGTTATGAATAAATATAATTCTGATCTAATAAATAATTTTTAAAAAGCTTCAAGACTTTATATTAATGTGTTACATTGATTGTACTTTCACTTAGTGTTCAAGACAGTTGTGATTTTAGATATTGATAATACATATTTGTGTTTGTTATGTTTTGTCAGAGATGTAAATAGATGTAAATTGATGTGTCATTTCTCCGTAAATTAGAATAACACTATCTTAACAAATCGAAGCGTTTGAAGGTAAGTTGATAATTAAATATTGGTTATTTATAAAAGTGCAACCACGTAGAGTTTCTTTTATTAGCGAAAAGTATAATTTATATTAGAGGAATAGTGCACGTGTGCCGAAGAAATAACGGTAGTACCTTGATAATCATGCGTACGATCTTATATTAAATCAAACTTATTTGAATTGTGTAAATAGTAAAATACTATTTTCTCCGAAAGCAATTTTGCCTCTAAATGTGTCTTTATCTGAAGGTTTATGTAAACTTTTAAAATGTTTTATATTAAACAAGATCTCGGAGAACAAATTGTAATACATAATTACGCGATAGTGTCACAGTGGAGTCGTGATAATTGCACGTATGGTTTTATATTTAATCAAATATACTGGAATTAAACATATTGTTTTCCAAAATGAACTATGTCAAATAATTTTCTTTCTTTCTTTTTACATATACATTTTATTATCCAACACAGGAGCATCTTGAAAAAAACATATTTTGCAGGGAATAAAAAAGAAAGAAAGAAGAAACAAGCGTCCACTCTTATCCACTCCAATCTTATTTCATTTTTTTGTTTTGAAATAAATATATTCCTGTCATTATATTACTTGTTCATGTGGAAAAATATATTTTAATTATAAAGAAACGAATATTTAACTAGATCTAAATCATCAGTGTCGACCATATCCGGAGGAATTTACAATGTTGGTTGTGTGCATAAAACGCCTTTATGCATGGAGGTATCAATTCTCTTAAAATCGCTAGGCGTGAAGATTAATTATGCACTAAAACTCGTGCCGTTTGATGTGTTCGCCATTCGTATCATTATTCCCTGCGGTCTGGAGACCGCAGGGTATTGGTACGCGTTTAACTTTTGAGGCATGAAGGAGCACGTGACCTGTTTTCGGTACATGGAGGAGCATGTGATCTGTAAACCGTACACGATTGGTTAATTGACCTTTTCGAAAACCTGGCTAAATACCGTTTGTCGGTACGTTACGGAATAACCTCTAGGGAATTAGTCAGAATTACACCTAATTAAGAACAAAAAACTATTACGTGATATTTCTAATTTTCTATAATTATTTTACCGTTTAAGGTGGAAAAACTTGAATGATGTATTTGAAAATTATCATTGGATCTCAAATTTTACAAACAATAATTTTTTTATACTGAAAATCTACAAAATTAAAATATTCGTAGTGGCATCTGCCATAATAAATAGAGATATTTTCTGCGTAAACTTGTGTGTTTACTTTATTTTTTTTGCTTGGAATTATTCATAAAATGGTAGGCTTATTTAATCATTTTCTTAAAAAGAAACAATTGTTTTATGTTCGACCTTATCAACGGTCACCAGTTTCCAAAGACCTTCTTCTATTTTGATCGATTATTGTCAAATATATTCCTGATACAAACGTTTATTTATTCCCCTCTCCCACAACAATGTTGAAAATAGTTAAATGAAATATCTTTATATCATTCCCCGCAGGAAACCATTTTACTTGTCTGTTTTTTGGAGAGGTCATCAGACTTCTCCACAGTGACCAGACTGATTGCTGGCGGCTTCCATTTTTGCGTATCTGATTGTAGTGAATGAATCTCTTTTAAAGCGTAAAATCATTAGAAGCAGTCTACAAATATTGTTTTGCGTATGCCCCGTTTCAAAATACGACTTAACTTAAACGAAAAATTAACATCAGTGTGAACAAATCGGTCCATAGAAAATCGGAAAATATCATTTACGTTACTTAATGCTACGTGGATGTTTCATTCCGTTTTAATCTTTTAAACTGTTTAAATCGATTACCGTATTGTTTTCTGAATAACGTTTTACCATTTCATGTTCCGATAAATAGTAACAGTGAACATTATAGCTACAATATCACCATGCACTATTATATGACCGAGTGTACCGAAACTTTGCTGCTCCTTAAATTTTTGAACCGGTATGACTTAATAACGCAACGGAGATTATTTGGCGCAAATGGTACAAATGGTACAAATTTCACTCAATTTTGATTTTCTTCAAATATTGTGGTTGAAGGCATGCAGCTTTATATACTGTTCATTCCAATCAAATGATAAAAACATTTTTTGTGTAAATCCTGGTCTTAAAATTTTTTGATTAACATACTTTTTGCCCGTTTTGGAAAATGTAAAGGAAATGTTTCCATATACTTAACAAAACATTAACCGAAAATTTCCTTATTGAATTTTGCAAGAATTATTTATTTTGATACTACTTTTAATATGTTTATCGTTTATTTCAAATATAATTCCCTTTGTAGAAAAAGTATCCCTAATGCGCCAAGAAAAAAAGTCCATTTCTCCGGCATATAATCTTTCAAAACATGTATAAAACAAATTTTAATAATGATACTATATTCAATATATATAATAAATTCTGTTTTGTTAAATATTTGTAATTTATAACCATTCATTGTGTCTTTTATGCAAAAATATTCCCATTTTTTCGCATTAAACAAATCTTCCACAGCAGCAAAAAGACCTCTGGCATGCTTCTTTTTGAAGAAGCAAACTTGTGTCAATAGTGACACATAGGGGTGTCGGTAATTCATATTATTTATCGCCTAAATCTTTACCACCTGATCAATCTCTCATTATTATGCGTTTAGCATAATGATAATATCTTTATTTCCTCCATAAGAAGAGCACATTTTTACAATTATACAATTATAATGGAACAAGTAAAATATTCAATTACAATGCAAATAATTACAGAAGATCTATGGTTACAGTATGGAAATCATAGATATTTAAATAATACACACATTAATATAATGTATTTATCTATTTTTTACACACATGTAATAATAATATGGTAATAGTAAGAAGTCAAAAATAAATATCATTATATAGTCTATTAATTGAGTAGTTTATCAATGAATTTTATAAAAGAGATATAAGATTGAATTCTTGTTTCGTCAATCACATTAAATGAAATAAAACCGCTGAACATTTCAAGTAATTGATTGTCTGCGCTATATGTACAAAACTCCAAATAGTTATCCATTCCAAGTAACTCATACAGTTTTTGCCACAACTGGCATCTTTCAATCTCATTGTTTCCACAGTAAAATACGGCATGGATCGCGAAGTTCTTAACGACGAGCTTGCACTTAAAGCATGTTTTGTCGTATTGTCTCGCGAAAAATAGGCACAGTAATTTAAACGCCGAGCAACCTTGTACTTTAAGCTTTGTGTATTTACGACAAAATATCCAGAGGCTACTAGGTTCATACTTTGAATGTATCAATATATAGTTTTCATTGTGCTATCGTTAGTTATCCTTGTAAACCATTCACTTTCTACATGTATTGCTCGTTTTACTATTCTTCTCCATGCTATTTTATCGGGAAAACATCCTGTTTTGTGAAAGTCAAGTAAAAAAGTTGAGAGATTATATTTGCCAAGGATCTTAAATATATCAGGGAAAAAACCTTTAGATTTCAGGGGTGATGCCAAATACATACAAAGTCTATTTATAAACACCTGTTTCACCTTGAATCTTGCATTCATGAGCGTGACAGAGTTGACACAAAAATATCAGTTTTCTCTGATCTATAATATTCTTGTTTATATTAAAGTAACTATTTTGTTCTTTCAGCGCCCGAGCCACCTAATTTATTAACTGATCAACCATGGAGACAGCCAGCAGATTGGAATCATTGGGTAATAAACAAAAACGACAATTTATAAAAAAAAACATACGAGGACTTAACATAAATATGCGGACACATGGCATATTTATTCAGTTGACATTTTATATAATGCGAAATCAATAATGCATTCAAAAAAGTTATTTTCGATATAAATATCTCAAAACACATAATCGGATAATAGATGTACTACTTTTCCTCCGATTTTACGTATAATTGAGCTATAATGCCTTGTCAATGCAACATTTTAACACAAAACTATAACATGAGATTGAAATATTGAAAATTCTTTTAAATAGCTGCTACGCTGAACGAATCCCCGACTTAGACAATAACAATGCATATGTTCAAATGTTAACAACATGATAGTATTCACGTGGCACAAGCGTTATAATAATGATAAAAACGCCAGTCACTGGAGGATGACACCAGAAGGTCAAGGCCGAAAGTAATGATAGGTTTCTTTTTCTTCCCGACAACCTGCGCGGTCATAGCTTTGACAATCATAAAACATCTGAATTTCGCATTTTAGCCCGGAAACATCGGAGTTGTTGACGGCGACATATACAATTTACAAGATTTTACCATGTCTACCCGAACAGCGAGTCTTTAGCCAATCAGCATGGAAAATTTAATCCCACATGATAACAAAATGGACAGCAAAATACTTAAAAAAATGACGCCTATAGGATACACCATCCGCCATGTTTTTTTTCGGATAACTGAAATATTTTTCCTGTAACATACTCGAAACGAGTGTGCATGCTCCTTCGGGGTAAACAGTATTAAGAAAGAAATGTTAACTCTATTGTTCAAACAGGAGTCTATATCGAAAACTTATAACACATAGATAAAAATGAACCCTTTTACTATATACTACCCTTTACTTCTGTACAAATATTTGTATATGGAGTATATGAAAGTGACTTAAATCGTTAATTTTTGGCATGTCGAATTACTTAGTCTTCTAAACTTATTTAGGCCTAATCATCGGTTATCATAATCATACATGTATTAAATTGTGGTGTAATTAGCAAAGCTTAAACACTTTATATCTGTGATTTTGCATGTTTCAAACCATGAACTGCAATTTACAGATAGAGTTTAATATGAAGTACCATCAGATTACTTTTAACCTCACATTCAAAAGATAATTTCGAAATTCGATATTTCTTCCTTCAAATTTATACCTAATTTTCAATTCTGTATAATTATGGTATTAAACCATTGATAATTAACACGATGAAAACATGTCCTTTTTTTAAAACGACAAGCTTCGGTAGTCGAACTTAGACTGCTGATAAAGATACCTGTGTGTGAGAGCGAACTTTGCCCTTTTTCCTGCAAAATCAGAGTTATGACCTGCCTTTTGTTCCAATTGATCTCATGTGGATGATCTTGTGCCATAATGTTAAGACATGAAGGGACTGGAAATAATTTTAGGTCTTGACGTGTAACTTGTTAGCACATTTTCAGATCGATCATACATCCCGTTTAATCCAGAATAATAAATTATTTTCACTGTGAATAATGACTCAAAAATGAAAAGCGTTGCAACGTTTTTAACAAAATCGGCGTAATAATCGCACACACAAAATCAATTAAATTTTAAGTATTTTCCTTATTCTTTATTTACCTGTGCCGATCTGTTCAGTTAAAGAGTTTCATGTGATCTATGTAAAAAGATATAAGCCTTCTTTTATCTCAATGGAGCTCCTTTTGACGAAATATTCTACATTATCGTTATATATATTTTCTTTATATTCATAAAGTTAGAGAAACAGCTCATGAAAGAAATAAAAGAAATTATACCTAATGGTCGGCCAAACCTACTAACTGCAGGGCCAGTTGGGTCTGGAAAATCATCATTTATCAATGCCATATATAGTATTGGCGAAAATACAAAAGTACAACCGGCCAAATCTGGAAGTTCTGCATCAAGTTATACTGTTATGGTAAATGAATCTCGGGTTATGTGTTACATACTTTTATTAAATAATATATGTTTAAGCAGCACTTTAAATCGATTATTTATAATCTTAACCTCATGGTGTTTATGAACAGTATATATGCAACAATCTTTTAACACCTATATATGAATTCATATACAAGTAGTAAAACAATTTAGATGATCGTGAATAAAAATGTAATTGCTTTTACATAACACTTATTTTTGTGTCATTTACAATGTATACGGCATATTAGACCTGGTCCGTACGTTAAATGATTATTTAACGTTTTAGTTAACATTCAACTATCAAGCGCAGCACAGTATAGAAAGTATTTGTCTTAGAAAATTGTAAATATAGAAAAAAATAATTTCAGTACAAGGGCTACACTCAAAAAGATACACCTCAAAAACAAAAACGACTACTTGAACATTTTATACTTAGAGATACGATGGGAGTGGAGCCAAAGGATGGTGCTGGATTTCACGTTGACGATTTCGTGTATTTAGTCAGGGGAAACATAAAAGATACGTACATGGTTCGACATACATTTTTATAGTATTCTACTGGTGTAGTAAAAACAAAATACTTATAATACTCATGACTATTTGTAGACCGACAAGTGACGATAATGTATGTTTTCGACCTTAAAGTTATTTACACTACCCTTGTGCATGGCAAACCTTTACATTGAGATTAATATTGACAATTTTCTTATCTAACGTATTCATTAATGATCTTTGCTGTTAACAATTTGTTTTACAATTGTGTCTCCCAAAACTTTTGGAGACATCTTGTTTTTGTTTTGCCTTCGCTGTCTTTCTGTCTGTCCATCTGTTCGCCCGGCCGCTTGACCGTCCGTCCGCATTGCGCTTGTCCAGCTTTCACAGGTTAAACTTCTGGTGGGATTTCAACCAAACTTTACAAAAGTGATCATTACCATCCCTAGTTGTGCACATCACCGGCATGTTCCGCTCCGCTGCACAAAATGGCCACCAGAGCTAAAATAGAAAAAAATATTGTCCGGCCTTCACAGGTCAAACAAGTTGTGGGATTTCAACCAAACTTTACAGGAGTAATGAATACCATTCTTAGTTTTGCACATCACTGGCACGTTCCGCTTTGCCGCCAGAGCTTAAATAGAAAAATATTGTCCGGCCTTCACAGATCAAATTACTGTATGGATTTTAATCAAACTTTATTGGTGTGATCAGTACCATCCCTAATTGTGCACATCGCCTGCACGTTCCGCTTCGTTGCACAAAATGTTTGACTAAGGACACATCGTCTTTCGAATTTGCAAAGTGATGGTGAGATTAGTTGTTTATTTCGACCTTTTATTTTGAAAGCGACTTTAAAGCTACATATTCGCTTCTTATGAAAAACAAACTGTGTAATTACAGTTGACAAATTATACCTTGGAAAACAATCAAAAGTGAACTTACTTTTTTAGCCTTCATGCAATAAGTTTACTTTGCTCTTTCAGAAACACAGTGTGCTACTGTAAAAAATAAGAGTCATGTCGCCTGCAAACGCAAAATTTATTTTGATTGACAAAATTTACCATCTACAATTCTAGATTATTAGGTTATTAGATATAAAAAAATCAAATATCAGAGATCTGATGACAAGAGACAAACTGTTCTCATTGATACTGACTTTTACAAGTTTTGCCTCAAACGGTAAATGGTTTTTTGTTCTTGAGTTGATTAGATTCACTTTGCTTATTAGTGATGACCACGTTTGAGAATAAAATAAACTGTTAAAGCATCTTTAAGATTAATTTCTCATTTAGTCGTATAATAATGCTCAACTTTTCCATTCCTCATTGTAGTTTAACCCTGCCGCACCAATTAAACGAGGCGACGGGCACTTCTCGGACCCCCCAAATCCAGACTCTGTTATTCATTGTGTCATCTTTGTTATCAGCGCAGTTGATGTCTACAACTATATACCAGAGGGTTACATCAGAAAAATAGGCCAACTACAAGATAAACTCCGATTGGAGGGTATGTGTGTACATGTACTATGTCACGGATTTATTTTTGCACGTTCTTTACTTTGAGTAAATGATCAATCATGGTGTCAACAAATGAGCAATGGTCAAAACGTGGTGTTTTGTAATAATTAATTCGTTGTGCTCATTCAAAACAAAAAGCTTTTCATTTTCGTTCAAATTGTGTTGAAGTTACTTTTTGATGCATTCTGGAATAAAGAATGTTTATTTTGACCATTAAAGTACCATGATTATAAAGTCTATTCAAAGTTATATGTTCCTTTTTTATTACAACAGGCGTTCCGAGGATACTTATTCTTACAAAGGCGGACCAGTTGTGCGAAGAAGTGAATGACAACATTAAATTATTGTTTAGGAGCGTTAAAGTGCAAAAGGCCGTTAAAAAGGCAAGCGAGATATTTCAAATCGATCAAGCGTCTATTCATCCTGTCGTAAATTATGAAGTCGATTACACATTAACCCCAGAACAGAACATCCCATTGCTTCTTGCACTTAAACAGGGCATGAAATATGCAGAATTGCAGAAGAAACAGCTTGAAGATGATGACGACATACCCTAATAAAACATGCTTAACCGACAAAAAAGTTACTGAATCAATTCGTTTACCTTATGTTGTTTTAATATAAAAGTTGTTTGTATAAAACGAAAAGAATGGAAACTTTTATAACTTTTTTATGTTTTGCATTTTTCATTCCAGAATATTATGTAAACTATCGTTCTGATTCCTGAATTACAATAATACTAAAACAGCACAGTAACACAGTACTGCGTGCGTGATTTTTCAAGTTCCGCTTCCGCATATTGCAGTGCTGATAATATTGTAAACAAAAAGTTGAAATATGGTATTACTAGTACTTGTATTTTTGTACTTTTTCACAATGAGTGAATTATTGTTTTATATAAATATTGTTTGTTTGTTTGTTTCATTTTACGCCCTTTCCCAACAGTATTTCAGTCATATAGGCGGGTAGATTCCTAACCATCGTTCTTAGAGAGTTACACCAGTACTAGACTACCTTCCTCCGCGCTAAACTACCAAAGCATCTCCCGGGGATCGAACCTACGCCAGAGAGGTAACTGGATTAGAAGTCATCGACTCTAACCCCTCGACAACGGAGGCGGTTTATTTATATAAATAATAAACAGACTCAATCAAACTGAATCTGCATTTTTCATGTAATTTTGTTGTGATTTATGCTTCCGGGAGATTCACTTTGTTTCCAGATTTTTATTTCAAATTGCAACTAAACGAATTGGTTTACATGGCATTCATGTTACCTTTTTACTCTTGTATACATGTATGTATGCATGATTGGTTTGACATGTTCTTGCTATCATTGTTAACGGATACATAGATATTTACAAATTTACCTACAAGATCATGCATACTATTTCGTGTTCATGGACAAACGTTTGACAAACGCATTACACTCTTTTTCACATATTTTTATATCTTTTCGTAAGGTAATTTGTATATTTCTCTATTAATACATTTGGTAAGGTAATTTGTATATTTCTCTGTTAATACCTTGGTAATTGCCGGTGATTTCCATTCAAATCCTGGCCCATCAACAAATTCGGATAGCTAATTTGCATCTCTTTCTATTACTAGTACAACTACACTATCAGAACGAGATATGTTTGTAAAATATGTATGCCCCCTATCGGCAGCCAATTAGTCATGTGATCAGGTTATTATGCATGACTTCTGACCCAGAGAACAAAAAAATAATAAAGGTTATCCACTGGTCAAAGTGACAAGGTAATAATTGGGACCAATAGGTTATGTGCAGCAATTTAAGTTATTACAAATTTTACCAAATAATAAATATGCATAAGTTTTATGAATCATGTAGGCCTCATTTATGACAGCCAATTTGTTATATTACATAAGACCTTCAAATGTGTATGCCACGAGCATTTTTAGTTTAATATAAAAATATCAACCATGGGAATTTGAGTTGTTGAGATATTGGTCAGAAACCATCTTTAAGTACAAGGTCAATATGTCACTGACACCTTGACCCCAAAATCAATAGGGGTCATCTGCTGGTCATGAACAATCATTATTCCGAAATTGAAGTTTCTAGGCCTAAGCCTTCTTTAGTTATTGATTGGAAACCGTTTTTTTTCCTACAAAGTCAATGTGACCTTGACCTTTGACCTCTTGACCCTAAAATCAACAGGGGTCATCTGATGGTCATGACCAATCATCACACCAAGTTTGAAGTTCCTAGGCCTAAATGTTCTTTAGTTATTGATCGGAAATCGTTTTTACCTACAAGGTCACTGTGACCTTGACCTTTGACTCCTTGACCCGAAAATCATTAAAGGGTCATCTGCTGGTCATGACCAATCATCACATTAAGTTTGAAGTTCCTGGGCCTAAGCGTTCTTAAGTTAATGATCGGAAACCGTTTTAACCTACAAGGTCAATGTGACATTGACCTTTGACCCCTTGACCTCTAAATCAATATGGGTCATCTGCTGGTCATGACCAATCATCATACCAAGTTTGAACTTCCTAGGCCTAAGCCTTCTTAAGTTATTGATAGGAAACCGTTTTTACCTTCACGGTCAATGTTGCCTTGACCTTTGACCCCTTTACCCCCGAAATAATAGGGGTCATCTGCTGGTCATGACCAATCATCATACCAAGTTTGAAGTTCCTAGGCCTAAGCGTTATTTATATTTGATCGGAAACGGTTTTTACCTACTAGGTCAATGTGACCTTGACCTTTGACTCATTGACCCCGAACAATAGGAGTCATCTGCTGGTCAAGACCAATCATCACACCAAGTTTGAAGTTCCTAGGTCTAAGCGTTATTTAGTTATTGATCGGAAATCGTTTTTACCTTCAAGGTCAATGTGACCTTGACCTTTGACCCCTTGACCCAAAAATCAATAGGGATCATCTGCTGGTCATGGCCAATCATCATACCAAGTTTGAAAGTTCCTTGGCCTAAGTGTGCTTTAGTTATTGATCGGAAATCGTTTTTACTTACAAGGTCAATGTGTCCTTGACCTTTGACCCCTTGATCCCAAAATCAATAGGGGTCATCTGCTGGTCATGACCAATCATCATATCATGTTTGAAGTTCCTAGGCCTACAAGGTCAATGTGACATTGACCTTTGACCCCTTGACCCCTAAATCAATATGGGTCATCTGTTGGTCATGACCAATCATCATATCATGTTTGAAGTTCCTAGGCCTAAGCGTTCTTAAGTTATTGATCGGAAACCGTTTTTACCTACAAGGTCAATGTGACATTGACCTTTGAACCCTTGACCCTTAAATCAATAGGGGTCATCTGCTGGTCATGACCAATCATCATACCAAGTGTTACGAGCCAGGATAACGAAAAAGAAAAGCCAGCAACAAACTTGTAACAATAACAAATTCATTACAGAAAAATTATTAAAGAAAAATTAAATAATAATTTATGTTTACAAATACCTGTAGTCCAAAAGATCTAGTTTGATCCTGGAATGATCCCTTTTTGAATAGCACAGTTAAATCCAAGTTTAATACAAGAACACTTTAGAATAAATTCCCACAATAAAATCCACAAGAATAATTTTATCTATTTTAAGATATCAAAGCTCCAATAAATTTCTTAATATCCAAGTTGAATGATACTCCTTTAAATGTATTGATGACTTAAAAGGTAACTGATGACTTAAAAGATGAAAATAATGAAAAATATCCCGTAATATATATATATATAAACTAAGAACATTCCAGAATAGTCTATTATGTTCTACAGTAACCATAATCTAACACTTTCAACAACAAAGAATAATCTGGAAATTTCTATCTGAATATAATGCACGAATCATAATCTAGAATTTTTCTACAACGGGTAAGAAACTTTTTGTTGACATACAAGTAGTTAATGTTCTAAAAATAGAACAATGATAATATTTGAAAGAGACAAATTATATACATGTAATATGTTGCATACATAACACTTCCCCTCTTCAAGAAAAAGAAATATGAATGAAATGAATATTTCTTTTACATAAATCCAAACAATGTAACTTATGAAAAACTTAGGAGAAATGTTTAACAATTTTATATATAAAATCATATATGTGTGTATTATAAACAATAGCAAACAAAAAGTAACATTAATCAATCATATGATATAGGTGTTTAATGTAAAATACTGAAAATAACAGTTTTAGACACGTGAAAGTGCATCAGGGATCAAATTATCTTTCCCTTTAATGTGTCTAATGTCAAGATTATATTCTTGCAAAAACAAACTCCACCTCAACAGCCTTTGATTTTTGTTTTTAAGTTTATGCAAGAAAGTGGGGGGATTGTGATCAAGACAACAACAGGCAACTTTGAAGAAGTTGGATAAACTTCTAAATGCTGAATAGCAAGAATAAGAGCAAGACACTCTTTCTCTAAAGTAGAGTAATTTTTCTGATGTTCATTAAACTTTTTAGAAAAGTAACCAAACAGGATGGTCAACACCATTGTTGTCTTTTTGGATCAATACACTTCCAGCACCTATGTCACTAGCATCTACAGCTAACTTGAAGTTTTTTATTAAAATCTGGTGCCAAGAGAACTGATGCACTCTTAAGTATGGCTTAAAGACTGTCAAATGCTATTTGACACTTGTCATTCCAAATGAATTTGTTGCTTTCTTCAGCAAATTTGTCAATGGTTCTACAATAACCGAAAAATTATTACAAAATTTACGATAACACCCTGCCATACCAAGAAATCGCATCAGTTGTCTTTTACAAATAAGCACAGGAAATTCAGAGATAGCTTTGACCTTAGCTTCTATTGGTTTAACTTTACCCTGTCCCACTACATGTCCTAAAAATGTTAAAATTGCATGACAAAATTCACTTTTTGCAAGATTAACTGTCAATTTAGCATTACTTAGTCGGTCGAAGAATGCTCTTATAGTTTTGAGATGTTCTTCCCATTCATCAGAGTAGATGATTGCGTCATCAATGTATGCGTCACATCCGTGTAGACCAGATATAACCATGTTTGTAAGCCTCTGAAAAGTTGCTAGTGAGTTTTTCATACCAAATGGCATGACTTTATATTGATATAAGCCGTCTGGTGTTACAAAAGCTGATATTTCTTTAGCTCTATCAGTAAGTGGAACTTGCCAGAATCCTTTTAGAAGGTCAAACTTTGTTACATACTTTGCTTTACCAATTTTTTCAATACAGTCATCAATTCTTGGTATAGGAAATGAATCCGTTTTTGTTATAGAGTTCACTTTACGATAATCTATACACATTCTAAATGTTCCATTTGATTTCGGTACAAGAATACATGGAGAGATGTAACTGCTTTGACTTGGTTCAATAAAGTCATTTCCAATAAATACTGAACTTCTTGTCTGAGGTATTTTTGTTTTAAAGGATTTGTTCTATATGGATGTTGTTTTATTGGTTCAGAGTTTTCAAGAATGACATCATGATGTATTTTATCAGTCCGTGTGGGAATATCAGAAAATAAGTGTTCATATTCATAAATAAGCTGTTTCAGTTCATCTCGTTTCGACGGTTCTAAGTGAGCAAGTTTTTCATCCAGATTTTTCAGAATATCAGAGTTTTCAAGCTTTGCTGAACCAGGATCAGACTTTTCAAAACTTTCATAACCATTAGATTCAACTGAACATTGATTTTATGGAACAGAGTTTACAACAGATATAGGTTTACTAATTGTGCTATCTCTGTCAAAATATTCTTTTAACATATTTATGTGACACATTTGTTTTTGCTTTCGCCTCCTAGGGGTATTAATAATATAATTAAGGTCACTGACTTTCTTTTCAATAGTATAAGGACCAAAGTATCTTGCCTGTAATGGTTTTCCATGTATAGGTAAAAGAGCAAGTACTCTATACCCAGGGTTAAAACTTCTTTTCTGAGCATTCTCATCATACCTTGATTTCATTGATTTTAAATTAAGCCTAGCTAACTCACATGCATTAGTCAACCTTTTTCGAAAATCTGATACATACTGAAGCAAATTTAAAGATATGTCATCTTCAGACAGGAATTTCTCTTTTAGAAGTTTTAAGGGTCCTCGGACAGTGTGACCAAATACTAATTCAAAAGGGCTGAAGCCAAGAGATTCTTGAACAGATTCTCTTACAGCAGATAACAATAAATGGATGCCTTCATCCCAGTCTTTTTCAGTGTCAAAACAATATGACCTTATCATATTTTTCAGAGTCTGGTGAAATCTTTCTAATGCACCTTGACTTTCAGGGTGATAGGCTGAAGACCTATATTGAGTAATTCCTAACTCATGCATGACCTGCTGGAAAATACCAGACATAAAGTTTGACCCTTGATCAGACTGAACTGATTTAGGTAAACCAACAAATGTGAAAAATTCCACAAGAGCCTTGACAATTGTTTTGGCTTTAATATTTCTTAAAGGAATAGCTTCAGGGAAGCGCATAGAAGCACACATAATAGTTAATTAGTACTGAGAACCTGATTTAGTTTTTGGTAATGGACCTACACAATCAATAATAACTCTACTAAAAGGTTCATCAAATGCAGAAATAGGCTGTAAATGAGCTTTAGGTATTGTCTGGTTAGGTTTTCCAACCATCTGACAAGAAGTATGACAAGATTTACAGTACCTTGATACATCTGCTTTAAGGCCAGGCCAATAACAAGAGCGATCAGTGATCACATGTGTCGCCTCATAATGGCCAATTTCATGTTGGGACACGTTTTGTGACAGACGGACAGACAGACGGACAGTGCACAAAAAGACTTGGTACTGATCATTCCTGTAAAGTTTGGATAAAATTGCACCAGTAGTTTATGAGGAGTAGTGGGGACAAGCTTTTGTATATCTGGCAACACACAGAAAAAAACACCTTTTTATCAAAGGGCCATAACTCGGTCAAAAATGATTCAACCGGAAAACCCGTGAAATATGCGCAAGGACTTGATCAATCCTGTAAAGTTTCATTGAAATTGCATTAGTGGTATAAGAGAAGTAGTCCGGACAAACTTTAAAAATAAAAATTATTAAAGGGCCATAACTCTGACAAAAATCATTGAACCGGAAAATGCTGACAATATGCACAACTAGACTTGGTACTTATCATTCCTGTAAAGTTTGGATGAAATTGCATCAGTAGTTGATGAAGAGTAGTCCGGACAAGTTTTGTGACGGACATACAGACAGACGGAGAAGTGATCCCTATATGTCGCCACTACTCCGTAGAGGCGACACAAAAATGATTGAAAATTTTATGGTAGGTTTTATTAACACCTAAATGACCTGCTATTGGTGTTTCATGAGCCAAGTTTAATATTTCCTGGCGATATGATTTAGGGACCACAATTTGGTGAATAACTAAATAACAGTCCACTCCTCATCAGCAGGGACATCGGGCGGTCGCCATTTTCTCATTAAAATCCCATTCTTTTCAAAATAACAAACAGGGACTTGTATAGCTTCATCTTCACTAAAAGCCTTTTGAAAAAGGACTGAAATCTCAGGATTATTTTGTTGTTCCTAGATAAGCTGTGACCTTGACAGCGTATCATGACCTTGATCTTTAGATCTTGGTGTAGAAAAGTCAGATATTGAAAACTCTGTCTGAGTTTCAGGCAGAGCAGGAGTGATAGAAAAACTTATTTCATTATCAAAAGACTGACCTATAAAAGTATCAGCTTAGTCAATATCTGAACAATAATTGTCTTCTTGAATGGCCTTCTTTGCCATAGCTCGAGTAATTGCACATGAAGGGTAAAGGTCAGGAATTTCCTGCTTAATGGGGTCAGGTATCTGATCCACACAAGGAGTGTCAGTTACAAGTGGATTAACCACTACCTTATCTCCAGCAAAGTCATTACCTAGCAATAAATGAACACCTTTAAAGGGTAAGAAAGATATTATACCTACAGCCACTGGCCTAGTTACCAAATCTGAAGACAAATAAATATTATGGAGAGGGACATTAGAAAAACCATACTCTACACCCTGAATAAGGACATTAGATCCAGAAGAAGTCTTCTCAGAAAAAGGCAGTGTATCTGCTAAAACAAGATATGTTTGTAAAACATGTATGCCCCCTATCGGCAGCCAATTTGTCATGTGATCAGGTTATTATGCATGACTTCTGACCCAGTGAACAAGCAATTAATAAGGGTTATCTAGTATCTACTGGTCATGACTAGTCACAAGGTAATAATTATTGTGACCCCATAGGTTGTGTGCAGCAATTAAAGTTATTAAGCGATACTATTGATATACTTATTTCACTACCCATCTAACACCACATAGATCATATGATGTATCAGTCTTAATCTTACTTTGTATCTTTTGAAAATACCATGTCTAAATATGTTATTATATAAACAGGGCTAATTCAATTATACCTAATTACAATGACATGAAAGTAGATATAACTTTGAATCGTACTGTAACAAGCCTTCAGAAAGACTTTGATATCTAATGCAAACTTCATTTTTTTCATTGTGTTTACTTTAAAGCGATTTTTATCTTTTCGTAAAGAAACTGTTACGGATTTAATTGTATTCGTAATCAAGATAAAATTTAACGCATGTTTTGTTAATGTATATTCAGTCTATTGTCGTCACAATTAACTGATAATATTTAAGGTATTGAAACAAGTCATATCTTGCAAACAAATTTTACAACTGACTGTATACACATGAATGTATGTGCATTTCAGCTCTAGACCTGACCTGACTGAAGACAATAATTCCTTAAAAAACAAATATTTTTAACAGTAAATATTTTCCTAAGAATTCATAGAAAGTTTAACAAAAAGCAAAGAAATAAAATTAACTTACAAACTTCGTTGTATTTGTTTTCAATTATCAGATATATTTACCCCACCCACTTTGACAAAATATAGAACCTACAGATTATATGTTTCAAATAAACACATAGTGTTAATTAAATATCAAATACACTATTAGAAACTAAGTACTTTTTAAGTTTTGTACAAAGACCTATTAGAAAACTATGTTAGAGAAATATGCAAATATTGGCACTTTGTCTTAATATTTTTAACGATACTTTTTGGATGAATAAATTAAAAAGCTTGACTTACATTGTGGTTTACATAAAATTTGATAATTTTTTATATGTTTACACACTTTTTATCAAAATATGCATAATTTGTGATACAAATTATATGACAAAAGAGATATATCAGTTTTGCATAATATCGGCGGCCATATTGGACGCCATCTTGAATTCTGAAGAGGTATGAACGCTGATTTTGTTCACGATTTGAATTTTTGTAAAGGAGAAACTTTATACATGCTTTGGTGTAAGTTTCAGGTCTGTACAAAAAGTTCACTGAATGAGCTTATAGTGTATGTCAAATTTATATGGCGGCCATTTTGAAAATAGCGGCCATCTTGTATGAGCAAAGATATTTTTGGCCCCACTTCACTTTTAGAATCTCTATAGTCTAAAGATGATTTCCTGAAAGTTTCATGCTTGTATCACAATTTGCACTATTTTGACAGGAGAGACCTTATTTCCCGCTCCACTAGCGTTAATCGCTCACAACTGAGATTCATCATTTAAATAATGTACAATGTATAACACTGATTTGGTCATTCTATTCATGCACTTAATTGCTCCTTTCATTAATTCATTAGTGCAAGTTTGTGTATATAAACTGATATCCACTTAATTTGTCATTGATCAAGATATAATATGATCGAATGTATCACAGAACTGGAAGCTACAACAGTTAAAGATCCGGACAATGGTGTAAGTTCGTGGTATGGAGGAAGTAAAATTGCATTTTCCGCATTTCTCAGCAAACGATACGATCTTCTTGGAAAAGGACAACACGTGAAATTCGACAAAGTGTTACTGAATGATGGGGACGGGTATGAAGCAATAACAGGAGTGGTCAGGTTGTTAAACGATGTTTACTGCATCTTATACGATCTAATTAATCTATTCGAAATGTGTTTGAAGAGACATATGATAAATGATATGACCAGTAGAATTATTCGTAGAATAACACCATTTCTTTAGAATGAAAGCAACCTTCATATGCTTATTCTATTTCAATATTAAACACAGTAAAGTGTGTTACATATAACGGTTTTCAAATTCAAAAATATTTTAACTATGTAGCTTAATATAGTCCCATTGGAACTGTTTGTTTGTTATCTATTATAAAAATAAATATTAAATAGATAAATGTATTATAAACGAAATAATGTAACGTGGATTTCAGAGTCTGTCCAAGTATGGGTATTTATTGTACTATTCTACATTAATTTTAAAGTTATTTAAATGTCTACATGTTAGACATTTTGAATGATAAGAATATTTTATGTTCATCACAATTCAGGAATGATTGACGTTACAAATGTTTGATCGATTTATATTCCAGAACACAGACGACTGGAGTTTATGTTTTTACATACGCCATAGCACAGAGAAATACAAATGAGGTCCGTGTTAATCTTATGTACAACGGTAACATTGTCAATGGAGCTATTGCGGAAGGTACATTTAAAGTTAACAAAATGTGTCTACTTGTAACTTCTAAATTGTTATCTGATTGGTTAGAAATTTCTATCAATACAATTCATGTTTGTATCGCAAAATAGTGCAAATCACTAGGTTTCCTTCTTTTACTTGGGGACCATACGCCACTTTTCATGGAATGGCACGAAAGTGTCACATTGAGGGTTCCATAATAACCGCCGTATGAACACATCCGCTTATGTTTCTAAATTCAAAATTTCATCATTACCATTACTAAATGTTGAATTCTGCTTAAGCCGGTGCTAGGGCTAGGAAGCGTGGACGATAACTTGCAGTTTCCATTACCGTCCATGAACAGGCTCAATCAAACCGAGCCTGCAACATTTTCAATTTTGTCTAGTTGGGCTTTCTTTAGGAATTCTTCTTTTCTCTATTTTTTTTAAATAAATATATTGCAAACATTCAGAGAGATTTTTGGGAATTATTGTCATTTTTGAAAATTAAACAATTAATGATTTAAAACTTTCATTTACTGCAAAAGTAAAATTTGATTCGCCTTGACTCAAAACTATTCGATACGGAATTTCAGGTATGCACACATATCATGATGCTCAGGGTACAAATACTGCAATAATACATGTGGCTAAGGGAAAGCCAGTTTGGATTGAGGCTGCATCACAAGGTGCTCTGGAGGGAAACGATGGTGACGGCCGATATACTACATTCAGTGGTTTCTTGTTGTACGCTAGAAATTAACTTTGATTGATATGAGACTAACATTACTCCAAACAAAAGTTCTTGGACATTTCCTGTTTGAGAGACAAAATTCTTGAGTAAACCTTTATTCTGATAGTGGCCAATTCATACTTAATGTTTCTTAAATTATTGATAAAGCAATTAAGTAAAATACTTTTCTTGAAATAAACTTTTATCACAAAATAGTAAGTTCCATTCTTTTATCAACTGATACTAATTTTGGCTTGTTACGATCTTATTTGAATCATTGTGTCCGTCTCCATGATCTTACAAATGTGTACATTTCAGGGGAGGGGTGTTAACGTCGAACCAACACAGTATATGTCATACGGCGACATTCCAGCTTTACTAGTATTAGATGACCTCCGTGCATTATTTCAGGCACGATGAGGCATCGACGTTCCGTTGGCTCGAGCCAGCGCATGAATTATGGGTTGCAACAACACTGTTAAGGTCGTATGGCGACTATCTAGCTTAATTGGTGAAGAATGTTTCTTTTAAGAGTAAGTAAGAAACATCTACCTGTCTGTAGAACAAGGTGGTCACTAGAAACCTTTTAACATCAAGCAAATTGCTAAAACGAATTTTCAAAAAGTGATTTAATATGGCTGGTAACAATGTTCAAGAGCAGACTACAGTGAAAGATGAGTGAGTCTATACAAGACTGTGTTTTGGTTTTTTCTCCGTACGTTTTATGGTTTTTATACAGTTTAAATGCATCACTGTGACTTTATGATATAATTATGTTCATTAACTGCATATTTATATATTCATAATGTACATGCATACATGTTTCCTAACTAAATGAGGTACCCCCTTCCCCTGAAAGATTATCATGAAAGATTAAAACACCCACAAGTTTAAGTACCTGATACATGTTTCCGTATGATATGCTTCAGATCCTGTTTAGTTTTAAGAGCATATAAACCTATCACCCTTAAGCGGAAATGCGCCGGATCATGAAAATTAATGTTACATCATCAACTTATTGATAGGTTTAACACATACATGATAACTCCTAATATAAGACAAAATGTGGCTATATTGAGTAGAAACTTATCCGAGTTTGGCACAGAAAATCCTTGAAAATTTAGCTTCAGCTGTATTTAATCAGGTATAAAAGGTAAAGTGCTTTTTTAAGATAAGACGATAAAACAAAGCATAAACTTCTATATATTTATTTGTTCGTTCATATTTTATTGTAGTATTAATTTTTAAATTTACACTGAATGATTTGGGTCGTCAACGATAGCACGATGCACAAGAGCTGTCGGTAGGACAGCAACGCTCGACTGTTCTTAGTGCTTGAAAGTAAAAGAGCCTTAATAACGTAAAATTTTCTGAGTAAACAAAAGGGCAATTTTTTTCTTTAAATCCATGTTACAGTTATAGGCATTGAACAGAATCCTATTATGCTCTCAAAGATGTGTATAAAATTTCAACTTGTTTTAAAGCCAGATGCCAATATACGAATATAAACTTAATTGTAAATTCTAAGTTGAAAAAGGGGCATAATTCTGCCAAATGTTTCATAGAGTTACCTCCTTTTGTCTACAGATTGGGGTAATGATGGTGAACAATGTGTGCAAAGTTTCAAAGCCATATGTCAATGGACTTTGAAAATATTTGAGGTGTTACAAAAAAATAACAAAATTCCAAGTCGAAAAAAGAGCATAATTCTGACAAAATGCTTGAGACAGTTACCTCCTCCTGTCTATAGGTTGGGGTCATGATGGTGAACAAGTGTGCAAAGTTTCAAAGCCATATGTCTATGGACATTGAAAATATTTGAGGTGTTACAAAAACTTGAACGTTACTTCTAAGTAAAAATGGCATATTTCTGTCAAAACGCTTGATAGTTACCTTCTCCTGCCTACAGGTTGGAGTCATGATGTTGAACAAGTGCACAAAGTTTCAAAGCCATATGTCAATGGACCTTGAATATATTTGAGGTGTTATAAAAACTTTAACGTGATTTCTTACTAAAAAGGGGGCATAATTCTGTCAAAATGTTTGATACAGTTACCTCCTCCTCATTATGGTAAACATATGTGCAAAGTTTAAAAGCCATATGTCAATGGACTTTGAAAATATTTGAGATATTAAAAAAACTTTAATGTAAATTTAAAGTCGAAAAATGGGCATAATTCTGTCAAAATGCTTGATACATTTACCACCTCCTGTCTACAGGTTGGGGTCATAATGATGAACAAATGTGCAAAGTGTCAAAGCCATATGTCAATGGACTTTGAAAATATTTGAGGTATTACAAAAGCTTTAAAATAAGTGGTTACACCGACGCCGACGTTCGGGTGACGACAACAGCTCTATTTATTCTTATCGAAAAGTCGAGCTTAAAAGTAACGTGTTTTGTAGGAGCACATTTGTCTCGGAGCACAGTTGTGACCGATGCGCTGGTAAACATTTATATTTGGGGCAATTTGGAAATGAGACAGATGTGATCGACACACAATAGAAAGGACACTCGAAGCACATTTGTCTCACATCCTTCCATAAAATTCTAAAAAGTTAATAATTATCCCCGTCCGTTTACCGGCTTCCGGCCATAGTTCTGTGTTTTCTGTAAAACCGTTGATAAAACCGTTTAAGGTCACTTCTGGTCACTATCAAAACTTCCGGCCTCTGCATAGGAGTCATTTATGTCCCTGTTCTGAAAATTTCTACCAGTGCAGTATCCAGAACCCAAATACATATGCAGAGAGACCATTCTTATCGTTAATTGTGAAACGTTCTTTCCGGTGCTTAATGTTTTATAAATGATTTAAGAAATATTCCATGCAACAACGAGGTAGCATCTACGGTGGCATAAAAAGGATGTAGTGTTTTCTTATTTATTACGTGCGTAAATGATAGCTATTACGTGCGCTTGCGATAGCTATTGCGTTCTATAGGGTTAGTTATTGTGTGTGCACGCAAAAACTATTTCGTGGGCACGCGGATAGATATTCCGCGTTTGTACCCTGCATTAATAGTTCGACGCACCCAATGGGTGTCGAACTTACAGCGGTTAGGGGCAAGTGGTTTTTTCTCTTTTGGCCACGGATGACCCTAAATGATATAAGGAAAAAAATGAGATCATCCCACACGTATTTTGTTTTCATCAAAAGTGTATAAAAAAAATATCGCCATTTTCCGAGAATTGCTGCTTTCAGATCCGCCATTGAAAAGCACTTACGACATGTGCATGAGTTCCTAAAGCAATTATTATGGAATATCGGGTCTCGCAGAATCAGGCAAGACGAGACACGAATCGAGGAAAGATATTGTAACACGAGTTCTCACAATGTAGAGGCATCCCGTACCACGAGCTTTCAAGGTAGAATATCGAGCATCGCTTGATGTTTTGACGGAATTTCTCTTTTCTTGTTTCTCGGTAAAATATCGAGCATTGCTTCCGTGTCTGTGTTTCCCAAAGGTTTGACTATGGTAAAGGAACCAGCTCGGGAGCAATCTGGCCCTCTCGCTTAATGGTGGATAGGTTATTGGACACTCTTTTTACACACTGATTGGCCAAAGACATCTAAATTTAAGCTGTTTTCTCTTTAATTTTCATCATGGATATGTTTTTTATATTTTGGTAGAAAAATGCGAGCAAATGTGGTATTTGATAAAGTGAATTTCAGTTTTAATATTGGTGGTTCTTCCACGTCATACCAGATATTTAAGTGATTTTTACAATAACAAATGTGATGCTAGAAATTTTTCTTATAAGATACATGACTCCTACTTTTCTCATCAATTTCCATCAGTTTTGTCATAACTCTTTAAAATGTGATAAGGATTTGTTTTCTAAAATGGGTCTAGCTATGTTTTGTTGCTCTTTGAAAAATATCAGTTTTATATAGAAGATTGATGATTACATTGACATCTGGTAAACCGGCGAACCTCGATTCTAAAAAATGGTCTGCCGAGGGAAAATATGTGACAAATGATTCATAGAAAATGGCATGAGATAGTTGTGTTTTCTTGTCCGTTAAAAAGCATGAGACAAATGTGCTGTCTTGTCCCTTAAAAAAACTTAATCGGAGCAAATGAACACAAATGAGTTTTTTTGGGTAGACATTTGAGGTCCCATTTGTCCCAAGAGAGACAAATGCGACCGCATCGGTCTTACATAAGGCAAATGAGTTCCGAGACTATTGTGCTCCTACAGTGCAATCTATAAAAACGCAAGGGTGTGTCCACATATATGTGTACATCTTAGAAAAGACCAAGTAATATATGAAACCGTCCATCAATTTTTGATTATTTCTGAAACAAATTAAAGTCAGTTGGAATAATCTTCCTCAAATTTATTTTCGTTTTGATTTATTACTGCTCAGCAATCATTTTGGACAAATATAAATACAAAATTGTCCAACTTGGTACCTAAAAAAAATGTTTATGTATGTATGTATGTATGTATGTATGTATGTATGTATGTATGTATGTATGTATGTATGTATGTATGTATGTATGTATGTATGTATGTATGTATGTATGTATGTATGTATGTATGTATGTATGTATGTATGTATGTATGTATGTATGTATGTATGTATGTATGTATGTATGTATGTATGTATTTATGTATGTATGTATGTATGTATGTATGTATGTATGTATGTATGTATGTATGTATGTATGTATGTATGTATGTATGTATGTATGTATGTATGTATGTATGTATGTATGTATGTATGTATGTATGTATGTATGTATGTATGTATGTATGTATGTATGTATGTATGTATGTATGTATGTATGTATGTATGTATGTAACTCCTAATATAAGACAAAATGTGGCTATATTGAGTAGAAACTTATCCGAGTTTGGCACAGAAAATCCTTGAAAATTTAGCTTCAGCTGTATTTAATCAGGTATAAAAGGTAAAGTGCTTTTTTAAGATAAGACGATAAAACAAAGCATAAACTTCTATATATTTATTTGTTCGTTCATATTTTATTGTAGTATTAATTTTTAAATTTACACTGAATGATTTGGGTCGTCAACGATAGCACGATGCACAAGAGCTGTCGGTAGGACAGCAACGCTCGACTGTTCTTAGTGCTTGAAAGTAAAAGAGCCTTAATAACGTAAAATTTTCTGAGTAAACAAAAGGGCAATTTTTTTCTTTAAATCCATGTTACAGTTATAGGCATTGAACAGAATCCTATTATGC